GTTGTTGTTGTTGTCGTTGTGGTGGCTGTCGTCGTCGTTGGTGTTTTTGGTGGTGGTGGTGGTGCTGGTGGTGCTGGTGTGTTCGTTGGCGTTGGTGTTGTTGGTGTTGGTGGTTGTTGTTGTTGGTGGTGGTCGTGGTGGTGGTGGTGGTGCTGGTGGTCGTGGTGGTGGTGGTGGTGGTGGTGGTGTTGTTGGTGTTGTTGCTGTGGTGGTGGTGGTTAGTTGTTGTTGTTGTTGTGGTTGGTGTTGTTGTTGCTGCTGTTTTTTGTGTTTAACTTTTTTTGTTGTCGTTGTTGTTGTGGTTGCTGTTGCTGTTGCTTGGTGCTTGTTTCTTGTTGCTTGTTGTTATTGTTCTTGTTCTTGTTATTGTTTTTGTTGTTGGTGCTACTGCTCCCGCTGTTGTTGTTGTTGTTGTTGTTGTTGTTGTTGTTGCTGCTTGTTGTTGCCTGATGTTGCTGCCGTTGCTGCTGCTGATATGGTTGTGGTGGTGGTGGTAGTTGTCGGTTGTTGTGGTTGTCAATATCGATTGTTATGGGTTGTTGTCGACTGTTGTTGGCTGCTGTGGTTCTTTTTGTTCCCGCTCAGGCTGCCCGCGTCGCTGCTGTGCAGTTTATACATATACGTAGATACATATATACATATGTAGAGTAGTTATGTGTGCACATCTGCAGGTATATGCAGGCGCATGTGTGCTTGCGGTTGTCCGCGCGCGCGCGCGCGTGTGTGTGTGTGTGTGTGTGTGTGTGTGTGTTTTTGGTATCCATGTCTTTCCCTGCCAGGATCTCGAGCTTGGGAGACAGCTTGCACCTGTGAGTCCACATGCGAGCTTCCGCGACCACTCCTTGCAGGTCCAGGCGGCGGGCACCTGATCAATCACGCATCTAAGACCACGATACACACATACACATATATATATATATGTGGATATGTTCTTTCTTGAAACTTCGGAACATACCCGTACTTGAGGATGTGCATGCTTTGTCATTCCTATCACTGTGGTTGGTATTGGTATCTTTGCTCTTGGTTCTCTTCGCACTCTTGCCTTAAGTACTAGGACCCAGTTGCCAGTCGTCATTGTCTGCAGTGTTCGTTCTTCAATGCCACCTCGCCTATAACTACTATTGAGTTACTGTTGTGACCACTGTTGTTGCTAATTTGTCTTTTTTGATATTCTTACTTTTGCTGATGTTGCTGTTATCTTTCTTACGCTGTTACCCAGTGTCAGCATGAACATGATTATTATTGATGCAACTGTTGTTTCTGATCGCATTGTTAAAATGATTACGATTGAGTTTATGATGATTATTGTTGTTATTCGTGGCAGTATTATGCTTACTACTACGACTGCTACTGGTTCTGAAACGTCCTGAAGCGTGTGCTTGGTCGCCAGCTGGCAGGCGGCTCGACTACTCCTCGGCCCGGAGGGCAATGCTTTGAAGGCAGAGCAGAGGCACCTGTGGGAGCACCCCTGAGAGGTTCCATCAGGGTTTGGGGTTGAGGGATGTTTAGGGTTTCTTGAAAGGGGTCCTTCAAGTCGATTGGTGGTTCTGTATCTTAGAAGAAGTGTTGGCATCGTACTATGGTTTTTGTGTCAGCAATGAGAATGACACAGCAGTTCTCCACTGGGTTCAGGCTTGCACGGGACACGACATATGCACAGAGCGTCAGGTCACCGAGCGGATTAACAGCTCGATTGCATAGCGCCGGAGCATGTGCTGCCTGTCTCCTCCGAGTTTTCTAGTTCTGTTCGTGATAGGGAGCATCCAGGCATCTCCGTGTGGCGGCCACTTCTGCGCTGCTCTGGCCGCCAGTGGAACCTGTTTGGGCTTATGTGGTGCGAGGCCAGCAGAGGTTCTCCGCAAAAGCTGGACCACGTCGTCGTGGCTTATAATGGTCTAGTATACAATGACTGCTCAGTTCCTGCGGACCTCGGGTGTGTCGTAGGAGCGTGACGCGTGTCTGCACGCGTGCCTTTCGGACTTTAAAGGCCTGCAAGGCCTTAAAAGCCATTGGGCAACCACCGTGGGTCACGGGCCTCATGGATAAGTAGTAAAGTGCACGTCGGAGACTAGACACTGCTATCTCTGGAGCTGTCAGGCTGGCGGCGGCTCTTCGCACAGCGGGCAGGATCTGGTGGAGGTTTTGAGCTTCGGACAGCGGCTCAGTGGCACAGGTCGGCTCTTAAGGAGAGAAAACGAGCTCCGTTGTGAGGAGATGCAGCACAAGCTCTACAAAGAGCGGCGCTTCTTTGAACTGGCATCTGAAGGCTCTGGGGTCGTCAATCTTTACCGAAGACTGGGAAAGCTTCTGAGTCACGTGCGAGCTTGTCCACGGATGGACATGTTCATTCAAGAGGCTGCACGGGGTTAGGGTATCATGATCTTTTGAGTGCAGTGCTGCAGAACCGCCGGCAAAGCAGACAGTGCAACTTTGCAACCGCTACTGCTCTAGGCTTTTCAACTTCGAAACCCTTGATTATATTGTGATCAATATTCTTATCCAGACTTTTGTCGTTTGAATGATTGTTTCCCAAACAGTGTGGCAAAAACTATGGGGTTCACATGTTCAGCGTAAAGAAAATCGGTTAGCATGCCAGCGCTGCTGAAGAGCCCTGTGCCATGAAGGCATTTCGATCGCATTCTTTGGGATCCGTGCGGCTGTTGTGTCCTTCACCAGGCAATGAGGACACATGCACGGGGCAGTTTTTGCCCTGGAAAATCAAAACCAGGGTACCTTAGGAGAAAGGATTCGTGTCCTTCTGCATCCCTCTGGTTCCGAATGGCGTGAGTACTTGGGGGGGAAGCATTCTGGCCACGCTCCCGAATCGCCAGGTCCGGACCTGATTCCGCTAGGATTTTGGTGGTCTCCTGTTCGTCTCCAGGTCTCCTCGTAGTCTCCGGGTGGCCTCCTTGTCTGTAGTATCTCAACTGGCGTAGCTGCTGTTGCAGGCCTCACTTGGAGCTGGACGGTGCTTCGCGCCGCCTTCCTCTTCGGCTTCGCCCGTCCTCTGCCGGCGCTCTGGTCGACGACACCCCCGGAAGGCGATTTGCGGCTCAGGGTTTCGAGTTTATCAAGCCGGTGTAGAAGGGTCCAGTTAGGAGGTGGTTTCCACGCGGGCCACCGCAGTAAGAATGGCACCAGCAACTGAGTTCCAACACCAGGGACGCCACCATCACCCCCAACATCAGTAGGGGAACGAAGGCTTAGGTTTTCTCATGTACCGGGTTTGTGCGTACACCTGATCTAATGGCAAGTCCTGGATGGCGGGTCGAACTCGATCCACCAAAACGCCAGAATCAGAATCATTACCTGCATTGCAGAAACAATCCCAGTCTGGCGGGAGGCGAAATCGTCCGTGCATGAAGAAAATGGAAGCATTTGCTAAGCTAAGCTCTCCGCATCTCTCCGCTCTCCTGGCATCTCGGGCAGGCCCTCCGGTTCAGATTCCGCCTTTGTCTTTGCGCGTGGTGTTTGGCCCGTGGTCGCAGCTGAACTGGGCTCCCAGTGCTTGGTGGAGAGATTTGCCGCCTGCTTTCAAGATCTCCCGGGGTCGGCCACAAGGCCGGGGCATCTTTAAAAGTTTGCTTGAGCCGAGGTTAGATGCAGCACCGGGCTCTCGGATTCACCAGCCGCAAGCTCCGCCATTCGTACCGTTCACCGGTGCAGAGTTGAGGCAAGCCCAGCCGGGTTCTGTGCCAACACTTTTTGACACAGGCACGCCTGGGCAGCTGCCCGCGAGAGTGTGCTCGAGCACGTGTTTGTGTGCGTACATTCACGTCGTACGTCGCGGGTGGAGGCGTGCACACATATGCATGAATGCATGCATAACATGCATGGCGGCATGGCATGCATCGCATGTGTAGCATGCATGCATGCATGTATGCGCACAAATGTGAGCCTGGGCAGAGCCAGCTTCGTAACCACACGTCCCGGTTCTGGCAGGCAGCAGCTGCCTCGGGCTGCGTTTCGTGACATCAAAGTCGAAGCGATGGACTCCGCCGAATCTGCAGGCCCACACTATTCACACAACTCAAGATCGAAGTGATTCTACATACCTCTAGCCGGCACTCTCACTTAACCACGGTCCGGTCCGTTGCAGAAGGCGGGACAGAGCGAGAGAGATACAAGGCCTCGATCCGAATGCCTGTGGAGAAACAACAAGGGAGTTAGTTAGATGGAAAGCCTCGTTCGCTGGCTTACTCTCGGACAAGAGGGCGGGAGGTACTGTAATTAGGTGCTTGTGACAGAGACCCCAGTTGCTCAGACGCCTTGCGTAAAAGCAACTCTCGTTCCCCGCCCAGTCCTACGACACGAAACGGAACAGTTGCCACCAGGACGGACCATCACACATAGGGCGCACCTGCAAGTACCAGTTTGCTGACTCGTGGCTACATTTAGATGGTCACCCGCTTCAAGCAGAGCATGCAATCAACGACGACAGCGGCACTTCCTTGTCCCTGCACCTCCAGTGCCACTTGCTCCGTTGGCACACCGGGGGTGAGCACAATTGAATTCGGCTGCCCTTCAAGTCCTTCAAAAGCACCTGAAGAAAGCGAACGAGGGAGAGCGGGGGTGAAAGCAGTCACTTATGTTGTCCGGTGTTTGCAGGACGCAGGTCACGAGGAGTCGAATCATGCCACCCCATAGAAAGACGCAGAGCTGGAGGCGACCTCTGCGATTCCATGAGGGATGCAAGAAAATCGGGCCAGGTGAAGCTCTGGTACTGGCTGCTGAAGTGGATGTGACCCAGGATCTGCTGCAGGCCCTGCGCCAAGAGCTCGTGGCTGGTCATCCGGTCCTGGCGACTGCTCGCTCACTGGCGGCTCTCGCGGAACTTTGGAACTTGCCCCCTGCCATGCATCAGCAAAAACATCTTTGCAGATGTATATAATTATACATATGTATATATATATATATATGTATAGATAGATAGATAGATAGATAGAGATATAGATGTATATATACACAACTGCAGAAACGCATCAAAACAAACCGTAGCTACGTGGTACAAGCCGAAGGACCGACAAAAACCTGCTTTGCCTCAGCCCCGAGGCTCTCTGAAACTCAGAAGCCGAAGCTCCATCTCAGAGTCGCTTTCGTTGGTGCAACTGGGGAGTCTCAGAAAAGTGGGGGGGTTACCTTATTTTGGGG